GGCGGCGGCGGCGGCGGCGGCGGCGGCAGCCCGCACCGTTGTGTGCCCCTCCCAACCCTGTCCTAGCCGGTCTCACACGTGGGCAGCAGACCCCAGATCTAAGCACCCCCAATCTCCATTTTACAACAGAGGACATTAGGCTGTATCAGAACACAGCAACGAAGCAGGTGGAGCTCGTCCCGGAATTTGGACTGGGGAAACTGAGGCAGGGGAACCAAGGCAGAGGATAGAGCCAGGGCTTGGATTCCAAAAATAAAAGCCACCCTCCAACCCTGTCTTTTCCTCTCCATAGCACCCACCGGGCACTGCCCACCCTGAAAGGCTTCCTGCGGGTGTTGGGGAAGGGGAGGGCTGGTTTCCTTATGGCTGGGCCAGGCTGGAGGAGGGGGCTGTTCAGAAGGGAGGGGATGGGCAGAGCAGAGGCTGCCAGATAGGGAGGAACCCGGCCACACTGCACTGGGGGGTGGGGGAGTGGAAGGGGGTTGTGTGTGCGTGGGGAGTGTGCTAGAGCCTAGTGATAAGGGCGTGGGAATCAGCGGGCAGTGAGAGAGGCTCCCCCAAGAACTTTCCAAAACAACCAGACTCCTCCTGCTGGAAAGTTTCCACCCCTGGAGCTGGCCCAAAAGGTGGACAGTTGGGAACGTTGGCAGGAAACTGGCCTTGGAGGCCAGGGACACCCAGATTCTGGCCCTGGACTGCCCTTAAGGGGTCCAATGTGGAGGTGTCAGTGAAGGTTGGGTAGCACCCCCTTTATTATGAGGCATGAATAGTTCCTCCGGCAAGAGCCCAGAGGTGTGGGTTCAGGCAGCCAGGTGGGAAAGAAGGCAGTTTAGGGACAGGAAAGGTACTTTTATAACATTAGTGTTTATTTTAGGTGGTTCCTGGATAGAGAATGAGACCCCAGAATGGGGTTCAGTGAACTTGAGCAGGTGTTGGGAGGGCCTGGTGTCTACCCTTCCCCACACCTGCTGTTGTCTCCATGACTGCACGTGCGCTTCTGATCCTACGTTGGTCGTTTAGAGGAGCCCCTATCTATAGTTGCTTGGTCAGAAATGTCATCTGAAGGGAGTATGGGATTGATTGTTGGGTGCCGTTGTGTTGGGAGATGAAGGAGCCCAGGGTACAGGTCACATGAAACATATATAAAGTTCCTAGCCTGGGAACCCCAGTGTTTACAGGGTAGCCGGAGAGGTGCTGCAGGGCAACAGAGGCAGACTGCACTGGCAGTGCCGGGCACTGCACTGGAGTCCCTCTCAGGACTGCCTGGGTGTCTCACAGGGCGAATATGCTACTAGTCCTTACTGGACAGTCACTGGTCTATTCCCCATCAGGTTCCAAGGGCAGGTGCAAGTCTGCCCGTCACTGCTGAGTGTTAGTGCCCAGAGTCCAGTCGACAGCAAGGGCTGTGGGTACTGCTGCTGGCAGAAGACAGCTGAGAGAGAGAGGGGCGATTATCTAGCAAGTAGGCGGGGGCAAGGTGAGCAGCCTGAGACCTTGGCCAACAGTGCCTGGTGGTGCAAGTGGAAAAACTCCCCCGGGGTCCCAAGGTACTAGGTGTGGATATCCTCCACTCAGCAGGGTGATCAGGGACGTGACTACAGTCTTGGTTCACGAATCACCAGGGAGCCATGGGGCCTGGTGGGTGGGGGAGCACAGAGGGGCTAGGGAGGCTGTGGGAAGCTCTTTGGGCCTTGGACACGGGTTGTGGAATAGGGATGTTATTCTTGGGGGAACGGCTTAGTCCAGCTGCTGAGATGGGAGCACATTGTCCTGTAGACCTGCTTGACCTTGCGCCCTGCACCCTACTAGTTCCTGGGCAACTTCAGAATTCTGCCCAAGGACACAGCAGGGAAGCGGAGGCCCACAGCCCTGACCCCTGGACCCCTTAATCCTGGTCTTATTCTTTGTATGTTTTTCCTTCCAAAAATAAACACCCACTCCCAGCATGTCCTTGAAAGGCAGGACACTGACCCTGCCTTTAGCTCCTCACCTGGGATATAGGAAAATGGACAGCCATCCCTGCTAGTGTTCTGGGCCTGTGGGGCTCCACTGGGCCTCAGTGTCACCATTCCCAAGGGGGCAAAGGGGACCATCCTGGACCCCAGCATGCCAGCCTAGGAGGAACGAATAAGTGTGTTACTGCCTGCAGTCTCCATTGAAGTGAGTCACAGCTCACCTTCCCAAATTAAGACAACTTGCCCCACTAGAGGCCTGAGCATTCCCCTGCTGGGCTCCACCTATGCTGTCTACCTAGCGGGGAGGGAGGGGGCTGTCTGCCCTGCTCACACAATTGTCAGTGTTCTCCAGTCTCCTGGCCTGGCACCAGTGGGGCCTTCCCCTTAGCCTCTTCCTGCAGCCTTATTCCTAGGCAGCGGCTCTGGCAGGCTGCCAGAAAGCCTTCTCTGTGATTCCAGATTATGGCCCCCACTGTCTTGTTCACTGCTATGGCCACTCTGTCCAGGACACTTGCGGACCTGACCCACCCAACAAGGCCAGGGCCCCCGGCTACGAAAGACACACGTGCACCCAGGCAGCCAAGGTTGCTAGGTTTAGTTCAGTGAAATTTATTGTAAGTTGAAAAATCAGCATTCACCTGTTTAGTGTACAAAAAGGACACTAGATCTTTTAAGAAAATATTAGGAAACTGAAGACATGGATGCCTTTCAATTGTAACATTTGGCAAAGTGAAAAGTTCCTGTAAACACCAACTCCATGGCTCAAGAGTTTTTTTCCACAGTAAATATTAAAGGAAAAAAAACAACAGTATCAATAAGTTAGACCATATTTAATCAGCTAGAACTTTTGTCCATCAACCCCCAACGCATAAAACTTTTCTGAGTTTCATAATTCCTTAAAAGGAGAAAAAAACAAAAAACAAGACAACAAAAATGAAATTTAACTGCAAGTCCCTTGAACTGGTTCCCAGAGCAGAGGGGCGGCCACGCTGGGGCCTCCTCACATAATCCCTTCTCTCCAGCCTGCATGTCGGCCGAGTACAGTCTTGTGCTCCTTCTCGGGGGGTTTGGGTCTGCTCGGTGCCCTACCCCACTCAGTCCCCAAATGAAAAAACAGAACAACAGTTTGAAACATGAAGGATCCTTCTCTTGGGCACTCTGAGCAACCCTGGGGTCCTACGCAAGAGATCTGGGGTGGGGGTGGGGACCTACTCTTTGGGAAGCCATCTGGAGACCCATGGCTCGGAAAAAGACCTATCTGTGAGCGTTACTGCTCTCCCTGCCCCTGCTGTTGGTGGCAGCAACCCGTGTGACCCCAGTTTCAGCCTCCTGCCCCCACCGCCTTCAAGAATGTGGCCGTGAATCTGAACCACGTCTCAGACCCACACACTCATGAACATACTCAGTCCTGACGCTTTGGGGGACACTAGACTAGGCACAGCGACTAAGCAGCAGTTGGGGTGTCCATGGAGCCAGAGCCCCCAGAGCAGGTGACCCGGGTGCCTTTTCTAAGCTCACTCTAAGGGGCCTTGCTTATCACCCCTGAGGGCCCCTCCCTGAGTGCAGACCCGCGCCGAGGGACAGAGACCACATGGCTTCAACAGTGCGAAAGGAAAGCAGCAGCGAAGGGGAACCAGAACATTGCAGACCAGCAGGCGTGCAGAGCCTCAGGCAGCACAGAAGACCCCAACGGGCAAGTGAGAACCTGGAATAGCAGGGTCTGTGGGCAGCTGCTCCCTGGCCAGCTGGAGGTCCTGAAATAAACCTGGGGTCCAGCCACTCCAAGCATCCCCTAAGAGCAGAGACCCACCAGCAGGAGCGGGTGGGGGGAGTCAGGGGGCTCGGGGGAGCCCAGTGTGCAGACTGGCGGACAGGACAGGCTCCTCTGCGCTGATGGCATCTGTAATACTGCAGGAAGGACGCAGCGGTGGCCAGACCCTGGGTGTCCAAAGAGCGAGGCACGGTTTAGAAAAAGGACGCTTTCTCTTTCATACAAAAATAGACTCAAGTCTCATAAGCATTAGCTAAAAGTGGCGATCTTTGTATAAAACTAGAAAAGGCAGGCAGGCCGGCCTCATCTTCGGCAAGCCCCTTCGGCAAAGTCCCTTGGGTGCCCGGCATGGAGGTGGACTTCATGGGCAATCTGTCCCAGGCAGGGGTTCCTCAGGAGGTGGGCGGCTGGGGGTGGAAGTGGCCACCACCTGATCCCTGTGTGGCTCCCCCAAAAGCCGGCCTTGCTGGCTCAGATGAATGTGTCTTCCTCGTGTTTATTTTTTAAATAAATCTCTCCCTTGGTTCCCCCCGCCCCCAGCTCCCCACCATGCAGAAGGTCAGGGGTGAGGCGAGCTGCCCCAGGACTGGGGCTACGGCCAGGCCTGCAGCTGCCGCTGGTCGTACTCTGCGATGAGTCTCTTGATGTGGGCCAATTTGCTGTGCAAGTACTCGCAGCGGCGCTTCTCCTGGCTGTAGCTGGTGTTGGTCTGCGGAGAGCAGTGGGAGGTGAGCCTGCTGGACCCTGCTGCCTTTAGGAAAACATGAGGCCCCACTGGACCCCAGGTTCCTGCCCCCCTCACTGCAGGCCAGAGCCCATCTGCTCTGCAAGGGCCAGAGCACTGGCCAGTGTCCCTCCCGGGCCCTGGCCCCACGCTGGGAGATGGAACTGCGGCCAGAGCACAGGTCAGAGGTGAGATTCCTTTTGAAGCCTCCATGCTGGGCCGGGGCCTGGCTGCCAGGGAACCGCTCGGCACATGGGCGCACGTGGCGACACACAGCCAGCGGCCTTAGGAGGAGCTGACAACCGGGGGCCACCTCCTGGAGATGTCACACTGTCACAGCCCGAGGCTCGGGGCTCCCCCCACCCCAGGGTCAGTCATGCCCTGAGGCTGGTGCTCTGCTAGACTGGCAGCTGAAGAGGCAGAAAGGCAGTCTGGGGCAAGGAGCGTGGGACTTCTGTGGGCAGATGGGTGAGCAGGACCCAAGACGAGTTTCCGCCTCCTCTCCCAGACCCTGTCTGCTAACCTTGAAAACAGTTTCTGCTGACCTCTACCCTACCCCCCACAGAAGAGAGAGACTCACCTTTTTGATTTTTCGATATTCCTGCAGAATCTGCCCTCTAGTAGTCTGCAGGGAGAACAAAAGAGAACGCCAACAATGCCCTTGTCTGCAGAAGCTCAATTCAGGGACCCCCCTCTCCGATAACCTGTGACCTGCACTCACCGCCCACATCTGGGACAATGGCCTTAGTGTGGCGTGAGGGAAACCGACCAAATACAGGAGGGCAGGCAGGGCTGCGCAGGCGGCCTGGGCGAGAGCCAGTCGGAGCCGGAGGAGAGTGCCTTCCCACACCAGATAGCTTATTCCCTGCTCCAGTGCGTCCCAGGATCCTCCCTGCACTCCATGTAGGAGTCTGGGGACTCCCTGTGCCCCAAGCAAGAGGGGAATAAGTGGGCCCTCCAGGTCCTCCCACTTCTCGCTCCGGTTCTGCCAACCAGATGACTCCTAGCTGGAGCCAAGATGCCTCCTGTGTCATGGGTAGCGTGTGGCACAGAGGACCCAGGCACTTTTGCAGGTGGCAGCTCAGCCCCACTGCTTTCTGGCCTTACCCCCAGGGGCATCTCCTATCTGTGGAGTGGGTCACCCCCACAGAGAAGGCAGGACCTCCAGCCCAAGAACTCCCACTCAGAGCCCCTATTAGACAGTGGGAACTACGGGGCAAAGAGGGGAAGCCTGCCGGGGGTCCTCCGCCCTGCATGCCAGGGAAAAGGGATATCAGAGCAGCTGTTTGTAGCGTGGCAGTTGAACACCAGTCCGCAGTAGAGTTGCCTGGGGTACAGCAAGCCTGTAGAGCGCACCTCATATTCCTGGGAGCCCTGCGAAAGCTGCCGGAGCTGTGCATCAAGTTGCGTGAAGCGCCGTGTGATCTGCTCTATGCGGGCATGTAGGTCTCGGTATTCACTGTACTCTGCGTTGAAGTCGTTCTTATAGCTTTGCCGCTGCTCTGACGAGGAGATGGTGGCATATTTCCTAGGAGGATAAGAGAGGGGCCAAGGGGCTCAAGAAGTGGCGTGGAGGAGTCCAAAGTGTCCCCCACCCAGGAAGCACCCAACTTCAGGAGCTGGTTCAGAACAGAATCCCCGTGAAGACACGGTGCCACTGTGCTGGAAGTACTTACAGCAAGTAGTCAGGCGTCTCTGAGGTGGGTGTAGGGATGGGGACACCAGAGGTGCTGCAGGTCCCATTGAACCCTACAAAGAGAAAGGTACAGCTGAGCCCACAGAGATCTGCAGAGGCTTTGACCCTGTGGTTTGGAGGACATGGAAGCATGGGAAGGGAGAACATGTAGGGGTAATGGAGCAGTGCAGCAGAGTCGATGGGTAAAGGACTTCAGTGGAACAGTCTTTCCGTGAGCCAGCATGTGTATGCAGTATCCCCAAAGCACAACAGTGCTGAGGCAACTTGCCCAGCCTCACAGGACAAAGCCTGTTGCCACCAAGGAGAACCCCAGCTCCAGCAGCACCTCCCTGTTGATAAAGCTGCAGTGTTCATGGTCTGAGCCAACCTTTATGTCCTACAGAACTTGAAAGCAGACTCCAAGGGACAGCCCCAAAACAGGAACAGTGTAAGACCATAGTACAGGCCATAGTAGAGTCCAAGGACATGGGACTGACCCTGGGGCTTTCAAGGACACACCATCCCCCAGGCTTTCTTCCAAATGGTCTTTCCTCAACAGTGACTTTATCACCTTGTCCAGCATATCAGTATACACTGTGTGCGTGGGGCCCCCAAGCAGTTTGCCAAGCCCTCTTGGGTGGAGGGTGCCCCAAAGGTAGAATGTGTCCACCTGCCAGAGCCCATGGGCACATATACTTGCAGGCTGAGCACATCACACATGCTGGCAAGGCAGCCCTGTCAGCATGGCCTCTTTAGCTCCACTATCACCCCCAGGTGGTGAGAGCAAAGCCGAGGGGCTGATCAGCTGGATTCATGATTCGAGCTGCCTCTGCTCTAGCAGAAGCCACCTCTGCTCAGCAGCCCCTGCTCCAGGCTCTTGGACTCGAGGTGAATACCTGCACATCACTGTCCCTCTCCAAGGTTCCCACCACTCTACAGGCTTCCTGTGAGCTGCCCCTGGGCGGGAGAGGGGAAATGTATCAGCTAAAGCCTGGGGCCTGGGTGCCCTGAGCTGAGCCCGGCTGAGTGCCAGCCTCTCCCCAGCATGCTGGCAGGCCTGCCCAGGAAGGCACTCTTTAGCCACAGGGAGGGGGGGCGCGTAGCCTGAGTGACAGGGACAATCAGGGGCACAGGCACAGCATCCAGGAGAGTACCTGCAGAACACATGATGAAGGGGGCCTTAAGGGGGGTCTGAGAGATAAAAGGAAGGCTCAGGGTCTAGGGCAGTCTCGGGCGAGACTAGCAGAGTGACGCCACCAACAGATGGAGGCTGCTATGAACGTCAGAGGTAACCACAAGGTAAGGCTGGGACAGTGGGGCCAGACCAGGAGCAGCGCAAAGTGGAGGCTCGGTTAAACTGACGCTTGTCCCTCTGCTCCACAGACCACAGAGTGAGGAAATGTCCTCAGGTGTTGACAATTCTCCAACAAGCTTGAGTGTGGGGGAGGGTGCAAGGGGTGAAAGAAAATGGCAGCTCACGCTTAGATACTTGCCTCTCCACCCTGGGTGGGGCCAAGGTGGGTTGTGCCCACTTTTTAGGCAATTAACAGGCACCAGGGTTCAGCTGACCCTTCCTCCCTTCCCCATTTCTTACTGTGTCACCCTGGCTGACACACGCTTCCCAGGTGGATGCCATCAGAGTCCCATGTGGGAGGTGGGCAAAGGAAGGGGACCTAGCTGAGCTACAACTTCCTGAACCTTCTTCCCACCCCACAATCCTCCTTGTCCAGCCTGAAATGGCACAGGGGACAGCTTTCCTGCATGGGACGGAATAAACGCCTTTCTGGAGGGTGGCACAACTCATTGAAAGGCCTGGAGAAAGCAACAGCCCTACACAAGCCCCAGGCCCGCACCCGACACTGCCTGGGAAGCAGGCCCAGCGCAGAGGTGACAAGCCCAGGCTGCCGGGACCCAAGGCTGCAACCCACCATGTGCTGCCACACCGCACTCATCGAGTTAAGTCCAATGTACCTGGCCAGTGTCCCTAGCTATGAAGGCTCACCCACTCCTGACTCTGGCCAGCCTCAATCCCAGGTCTCCAGTTTCTCTACCTGCTGGACTTTCTTCCAGCTGCAGTTATGTGGATGGGCCACTGAACTCTTCATGGTATCTGCCTCCCAAATTCTTCCTCCACATTCCACAAAGGCCCACTGCATCAGACACCATCCCCACATCCCAGCACCTGTCTGAGCTCCATCTACTCACCTGTGTCCAGGACCCCTGTAGCTGCAGGTGTGGTCTGAAGTCCTCTCTATGTGTGTTGTGTCCCTTCCCATGAGCCTCAGGCCCATGCCTCCAGCCCTGGCCTGCCTACTGGCTGGGCTGCAACCTCTAGGTACTGCCAGAGGGCCAGGCAAAATAAGAGGGGTGGATGTGCAGAGTGAACCCCAGGGACAGGTGCTCACACTCACAAAGGCCCTTCCTACAAAGGGCCCTACCACCACCTTCCTCTCTGCACCTACCTGGTGCATCTGCTGGGGCGCCAAGGGGACCGGGCACATGATCTGGCGGCCGGGCCTGGTGCCTGTCCTCGGACGCCTTCTCCTTGTCTTTGTGCTTCTTGGACTTCTTCTTGGACTTGCCGCGCGAGGAGCTGCCTTGGGGCCTACTGGGCTGTGCACAGTCCATCAGCAGGGGCAGGCTGAGGCACGCAGCAGAGGCTGGGGTGGCTGTATCCCTGCGCTCACAGTCCCGGCCACTATGGCCCAAGTCATTGCTGACATCTGCCAGGGGGTCATGGGCTCTTGGAGGTTCCAGCCTTGGGGGCAGGTGGGCATCTGTGACAGCCAGAGAGCCAGGAGTAGGCAGTAGAGCCTCGCGGCTATGGGGTATGCTCAGCTTTCCATTGACGGCAGGCTGAGCTCTCTGGGTGAAGTGTGATATCCTAGGTCTCTTGTTAGCCAATGGGTCAATGAAGTCAGGAGGCTGTGGCCGTTTCTGCAAAGGGAAACAATATTAAAGAGCCCTAGCACCAGGAGACAGCAGTTCTAGGCCCTACAGAAACCAGGACCACGTGCAGGACCCACGTCGGCCACATGAGGGCACCCCGACACCAGTCAGGAGCTGTGTTCATCAGCAGCTAGCGCCACCCCTAAGGGCCCTAGGTCCCCAAACTGTCTAAGTTGTCACTGAGTCTAGCTTCTTCCCCAGACTAGGGACAGTGACAGCCAAGTCAGGGACAAAGGCCACTCCATAGGCTGCAGCCGCCTACCCGCAACCTCACAGCAACCCTGTGTCGGGGAGCCAGTCATCCCCACTCCTCAGGAAGCAAGGCAGGCGTGAGAAAGCTAGTCAGAGAAGTGGCTGGGATCGGACCAGGTGGCCCAGGATGAGAGGCAGTGAGGCAGGTAAGGGTGGGGGAAAACAGGCCCTCCATTCTTTGTGTGGGTCCCTCAGCTGGGGCTACATACATAGTCTCTCATAAGGAGTCTTTGGGACTACAGATTCAGGTAGGTGGATGCCTCTAGGAAGGAAGAGAAGAAGGTATTTGGGAGGGTTAGGAGGAGGAGGAGAAAAGGAATAAGATGGTCCCATTTCCAGGCCCCCCAGTCTGGGGGAAGCCAGCTCACTTACTGAAGAGCCTGAAACAGGGTCTGACGGCTTTCCAAGCACCAAGTCTCCTGGTGAGACCCGCCCTCCCCACTCCCCACACCACACCAAACCTTACCCAGTGTCAGCCCCTCCATATCCCTGCTCCTACCTGAGGGGGCGAGGCTGACCTCCCATGTTCCCCTGGAGGGCTAGTGGAAGCAGAGTCTCCAGGGAGCCCACTGGTGCCCTGTGGCTGGCACAGCTTCCTATGAAAGAAAAGGGTAGGTTGGGGGGACTCTGCAGCAGTGCCCTGCTGGCACCTCCAGGTTCATCTGGATATATAACTGACCCCAGCTAGGACCTGAGGAAGGTCACCCACAGGTGGTCAACAGGTCACAGCACCTACTGTGGGGGGTCCAGCTGTAACCACAGGAGTATCAGTGGCCTCCCACTCGCATAGATACCTGTTACCATGGGAATCAAGGAGACGCATAAAACTGCCTGAACGCGCAAGGTCCACACTGTGTCCCTGTAGGAGCTGGGGACACGGGCCCTAAATTTGTAAACAGCTATTTGACCCACTAACAAGGGTCACTGTAAAAACTTTAGAAAGCACAGAAGAACCAGGTGCTCTACTCTGGGGGAAGCGGCATGTTCAGCACCCACCTGGGAACCGAGGGCAGGGTGCCTCCCTGAGAACAGGGTGGTGGCCATAATCCACCCAGGCTGGGCAGAACAATGCACGCGGAACGGAACCAAGGGAAGAGACACCTGGTGGGCGGGACCAAGGGAAGAGACACCTGGTGGGTCAAGGAAAGTCCTTATAGGACCTTGACTTGAGGTGCTTCTTCAGTCTGCCTCTACGCTCCTAGGGGCTATGAGTGTCAGAACCCAGGCAGCGCCAGATATGGTACCAGGAGCCATTCATGCCCTGTTACAGGCTGAGGGCCACAAGGGCCCATCTGTGTAGTTCTAATCAGGGATAAGCAGAGCCAAACCCATTCCCTAACCACGTCTGTACTTTAGGCCACACTGCAAACACGGTGATGTGAAATGAGGAGAAACGGAAAAAGTGCCTCAGGCACATAGAGGCTTCACTGGGGCATGTCTGCTGTGAAAGTGAAGCAACCAGAGCTTCCAAGTGAAGACAAAGCCAAGAACAGGAATTTATATCTGCTGTTTATTAAGCCCCCACTAACAGGAACCATGAAACCCAAGACCCAGGCCAGAGACAGGGACCTCAAAAGAGGGTTCTTATAGGGCTGTCCCCACCCCCTGCCCCGCCTAGTTCCTGGTTTGTAGTGGGCAGTGGGGAAGGTGGCCCACAACGTGCCCAGGAGTGAATGTGCCCAAGTCTTTTCCAGGCTGCTGAGAGGTTGCTGGCCACACCTGGACAAAGGGCTGGATGGAGGCATGGCCTCAGACAGGAGGGACCAGAGGCCTGGGACTAGGATTCAGAAATCAGACCTTGGCAGCATTACTCAGGGGAAAGTACTGACCCAAAAAAGACAGGAAAATTCATCTGAAAGGAAAGACTGTAAGGGAATGGAAACTTTATCCACAACCAAACAATAGCCTAATGTCCTCAGAAAGACAAAGAATTTGAACAGACACCTCTTCAAAGATGACACACAAATGACTAAAAGCACACAAAAAGCTGACTGGCACAGCCTGTCACCAGGGAATCCCAATCTAACCATTGTGGATACCACCTCCCCCACCAAGATGGGCCAGAGTCAAAATGGGGCCTGACAAGAGTGTGGAGGACATAGTGAATCAGACGCTGGCGGGATGGAAAATAGTGCAGCCATACAGAAAAGTCTGGGATTTTTTCCAAAACTGCAATTCCATTTCTTGGTATACTTTTGTCCACACAAATCCCTATACACGTGTGTTCACAATAGCCAAAAGGTGGATAAACACAGTGTGATGATCCATCCACACAGAGGTGTCTCAGTCAATCAGGAAAGGGAGGGAAACCTGACAGTGCCGTAACACAGACGAGCTGGAAACATGGTGTGAGCGAGAGGCCAGGCAAATGCCACACGGGGTGTGACCCATGGATATGACATGTCCAGAGCAGGGAAAACCAGTCAGCAAGCAGATGAGTGATTGTCAGAGGCTGGGGGAGTATGCTCATGGGGGTGGGGGGAGTCCTCTTGGGGTTATGGAATAAACTAGCACTAGAGGTGAGGACTGCACAGTATTGTAAATGTGCTCAATGTACTGAACTGTCCATTTTAAGTGGGTGACCTGTGACAGCCCCTCAATAAAGCTGTCAAGAAATACCTTTAGTGAGGGTGGATCAAAAATCATATTCCTCCTAGGGGATAAAAAGTGGATGCTACAAAACAGATAAACAAAAACAGGTAAGACTGGGGAACTGGAAATGATGACCAAATAGGATGAGAAGCGGAAAAAAATTTCCCAAAAGCACTTAAAAAAAAGAGAGAATGAAGAATGGCAATGTTAAAGACACTCTCCTCCCCCAGAAGAAAGACAGGGCATTCAGATGGGCAGGGCGTGACAGGACTGGAGCCTCCAAGACCAGGCAGGCGTCGGCGTCAGGGCCGCTGTGGATCTGCACATCCAGACTTGGCACAACAGCCGACTCTGTGCGACCATCACCCTTCCTCTGTGGACATGTGGAAAAAACTAAGTCCTCAGGGAGGCTCTAAGAGGACCAGTCCAGAGCCAACACCCTATGACAACACACCCAAGTGTCCATACATCCTGGAGTGACCACACTCCCCAGAGGCTCACCTGGAGGGGAAGGAGAAAATGGGAGCTGAAAATACACCAACTCCAGAGAAAATGCTTCTGGGAAGCTCTCACCAACACTCCTCAAGACGCAGCCCAACACCGTTTCTGACCAACACTTCCCCACACCCGACATGAGCTAGGACACACACAAGCATGTACATGTACACATACAAGCACACATGCTACTCACACTCAGACTTGTCCCTCTGAAATTTAGTGAGACAGGCCCTGGGGGGAAATTTGAGAAGAGGGATTTGAGGCACCTCTCAAGAGGTTTGAAAGGAAGGACAGATGGACAGCAACAGACCAGGGAGCTCCCTGCCTTATCAAAGCACTTGGATGTACTCAGTATTTCCAACACTGAACTTTTTGCTACCAAATGTGTAATGGATAAACCACCACAGTCAGCCTGAGTCATGGTGGTCTGAGCCAACGGGAGATACCCAATGAGGGGTCTTCTGCTTCCCAGGTACCCAGACCTCTCATACTGGTCTTGCAGCAATGAGCTCAGGACAGTAAATAAGGCCCCAGAGGGCTGATGAGGAACTCTGGGTTCGCTAGAGTGGCCCCAGCTCAGCTCTGTTTTTCAGATGCAATTACTGCTTTAAACAGCTGTACTTTAAAAAAAAAAAAAAAACTTCATAAATAGTTTCAAGTCCCTGAGAGATCACTTAAGGGCTAATTAGCACATCGGCCTGCTCAGAGGCGTTTCACAGCTGTATTCCCACACCAGGCCTGACCGGGAAGGAAATCATTAATTGCTGGCCTGAGCTGGGGGCCTATTACCCACTTATCCCCAGAGCTGCCAAGGCCCTCCTGACCTCAGGTGCCAATTAACCTAAGAGGGGAGGCATTTAATTAACACTACTTAAGCATGTCTGCTGGGAGTTCTGTTTTGTGACGTTTCCCTCTGCTTCGTGCTCTCCAAGTCCTCATTAAGGAAGCGGTCTTCAGCAGATGTTGTGGGGATGCACAGGTTTGGGCAGATGACAGGAAGGGAAGCGGTCACAGGGATGGGCTAAGGTCTTCTCTCTGAGCACTCTGGGGTTCAAGAAGGTCCTCTACCCGTCCTCTACCCAACTCTGTGCAGCTGATCTTTTCCTTGATGGAGGTATGGTGGGAAGTAGTTTCCATGGAACCCTCCATCTTGCTCTCAGGCTGTGCGGACCTTCGGGCCACACAAGGACACACCAGCATCCTTGGGAGAACTGTCTCAGTCCCAGGGAGTGGGCATAACGAGATGAAAGGTGACATTACCGGACAAGCATCCGTTTCAGCAGCTGCTGGTCACCCTCGGAGTAGCCAGGCCAATCCTTCTGCACGTCCTTGTACACACAGTCCTTCAGCATGCAAGTGCCATCCTTGGCATTCACGTTGGCCACCTGCAAGACAGAGCCAGGGTCACCTCCAAGGGGGAGGCAGATGTTCCTGAAAGCATTTGATGGGAGAAGAGGGAGGTAAAGATATGCAAGGAGAAAGAAATGGAAGGGATAGATGGTAACAATACACCTTCACACCTGCACACAAGGGCATGATCCTGGAGTGCAGAAGGGTCCAGATGCACTCACTACCTTACAGCTACCAGAAGCCAGGGTGGCTGCAGTCTATATACTCAACACACCATCATCAGCTTCCCCACAATGCTATGAATGCTATGAATGTTCTTCCCAAAATTCATATTACATCTTTTTTAAAAATTTTTTGAAATATTTATTTTTTATACATACAGAACTGGGGTACAGGCCAGAGGTGCGGGGGCGGTGAGAAGCTTCACCTGAGACAGAGTGGGGAGTAGAACAGGCAGATCAATGAAGTACACTGCTGAGAGCAGCAGTGGATGGGTCAGGAGAGATGAGATCTGCCGTGTCATGTGGGTCACCTCCAGGTGCAAGGACTGAACTCATGCTGAAGTGGCTTTAGCTTCTTAGTGCTGTGCTTTAACCTGCTGGCCACCAGGAAGAGCCCTTAAATCTTTTTTTTTTTTTTTTTTTAATTTATTGGCTCTCCTTTGGTGGCGCAGCAGATTAAGTGCAGCACTGCAAGCAAGCTGCAGCCGTTTCAGTGCAAGTTCGATCCCCAACCCCAGAGGTGACCCACATGGCATGGCAGACCTCTCCTGACCTGCCTGCTGCTCCCCTCAGCAGTGTACTTCATCAGTCTCCCTGTTCTGCTCCCTATGTTGTCTCTGATGAATCCTCTTACTGTCCCTGCACCTCTGGCCTGCACCCCAGTTTCTGTATACATATTTATTCATTAATGCATACAAGAACTGGGGTACAGACCAGAGGTGGGGGAGGGCAAGAGGATTCACCAGAGACAAGAGTGGGGAGCAGAACAGCCAGATGTAGTGAAATAAGCTGTTGAGAGGAGCAGCGAGTAAGACAGAAGAGGTCTGCTGCACAATGTGGGTCACCTCCCTGGCAAGGGTCTGAACTCTTGTCACCTGTGAACCAGGTAGTGGCCACATCCGTCACTGAATCTTCCAGGATCTTGATCTTGGATGTCTAATCTCCAGAACTGTGATAATAAACATTGGTGGTTTACAACCCCTCATTCTATAGTTATATGATAGCAGTCCCAGATTTGCAACTCTTGGGTAGAACTGGTTGAGGCAGGATTGCTTCTGGAGCCAAGCTATTCATGAAGGAGATTTAAAACATTTGTCTGTCAGGCACCTGAAGGTTCTGTCACAGGAAGGGTACTTCTGCATGTCTTTGGGAACCCTGGTCTCTGGTATATCTGTGTCTGAGTAAATACGTGAGTTATGCATGTGTGTATATATGGGGCTGTAGGGCTGCCACAGCACTGCTCTTTTTTAGTTGCTGGGCTAGAAGAAGACTCTAGGTCACAACAATCCCACAATTAGCGATTTTCCTAGGTAAGCAGTATTTCATCCAGTGGAATCTCACCAGACAGACATGTGACTGGTGAGATGTTACTGTGCACGTTTGTCCATGCTGGCCTGTTTTCCTTGGCCAATAGGATGGGGATGGACTAAAGGTCCTTTTGTGGTCCCTGATACATTTTGCTGAATCTCTCTGGAAGAAAACCCCAGTGTTAGCACCCCTGCTGTGAAGGCTGAGTCTGGGAGCTCTCAAGCTTACAAATTTGTAATAAATGCCTTCAATTCTTACAGAATAAAGGAGGAAAGCTCTGAGGAGAGCAGCGTCATCAAAACTGATCACCAGGGCCCCAAGTCACCTAGGGGAGGTTGGAAATGACCAGCATGGGTTAATCGCACCCCTAGAGCCTTCCCTTTTCCCTAGTATGATGAGGTTCTGCATCCTCACGATCACTGGAGAGATTCAGCTGGGCAGTAAAAGTTGAGGAACTAAGTGCGCAGACTGTTCTAGAAGTCCGGGGATACAGCAAAGACCCATCTTTAGAGGCCAAATGCCCATGCAAAACCCAAGGGAATTGGAGAAGCCAGGGTTAACAGAAAAGGATCCCCACTGGTCCCAGAAAAGGATCAGAGTAGGCCCGGTAGGCAGAACCACATTAGCACCTCCAGAACACCCCTCTCCAGAGAAGTAGCATGGCCCCACAAATCTAAAGGCCACTCAGAATGAATCTCAGGGCGGTGATGTACTAAGCCAACTATGTTTCAAGGGCTGGTGTGCTTCTTCTATGTTCTGGGCACGGACAGGGCAAGAAGAAGGGAATAAAGAGTCCCACGAAAGTTGGGTGGCTGCCGGCAGGCACATCCAGGGGCAGCATGGGTTTTACCCATGCTGTCAGTCCTGGTTTCCTCTCCTGTCATGTGGCAATCCTAACCTGTCTCCCCACACTGTAACGGCAGCTCTGGAAGGTGTCCACTTGGGGAAGGGTCTCCCAAGTGTTTCTCTCAAATTCCTGAGGACAAGGCCACGTGTGACTGTCCAAGCAAACAAGCCCCGTGGTAACAACCCGTCAAAGTTCCAGAGCTCTCAGGATGCTCTGGCGAGTTCATCTGCCAAAGAAAACTGGGTGAGGGAGCCATGGATTTATATTCTAAGAGACCAAGAGTGGAGTGCTGAGCTCACAGAGAAACATGGAAATTTGATCTAGGCAGCATGAGCTCTGCATTCAAACAGCAGCTAATGAGGCCAAATCCACAGAGGGGCCAGCAAATGGACACAGGATCAGAAACTGCTGATATAAGGGCGCCAGGACCCAGAATGGAGCTCTCCCGTGGTACAGATGGGAAGGCACTGTGAATGGACCCAGTGTCGGTGGTGGGATAGGACCAGTATAGAGCTACACCCAACGTGTGGGCCACAGCTCTGTTGTTTTCTGCAGGAGATGGGTGGCACCCTGCCTTTAGCCCCCCAAAAAATTTTTTTAAGGTTTATTTATTTATTTATTTATACAGAACTGGGGTACAGGTCAAAGGTACAGGGGTGGTAAGAGCCAGAGTGGGGAGCAGAACAGGCAGACTAATGAAGTACAATGCTGAGGGCAGCAGCAGGCGAGACAAGAGAGGTCTGCTGTGCCATGTGGATCAGCTCTAGGGTGGGGATCGAACTTGCACCCAAGTGGCCAGAGCCAGTTCTGCAGTGCTGGACCACCAGGGAGCTTTAACTTGCTGGACCACCAGGGAGTAGCCCAAATCTTTAGGGAATGATGGGTTATGAGAAGACTTCAGCTGAAGTACAGGTAGACAAATGCAACAGCCTAATAAGCATGCTGTATAGCTCCTACTAGCCCTTGGCTGCTCTGCCAGGCTGCTGAAGAATGCTGCCAATGCAGGCATTCATCCTCAGACACAGCTACTGACTTCCTGCTCTAGGAGGACCTGTGGCCCTAACAGCTGCCCTCCAAGGAGGCCACAGAGAGCCACTCCCATTCCCGGGGCCTGGCTGCCCAAACAGTCTGGGGAAGGAGGCTGAACATACCACCCTTATTGCAAAGTCATCCTCTTGCTTCCGAGCTGCAGCTGCCCCTGTCAGGACCCTTCTCCCACCAGCGGCACCCGCACTACCGGCCCTTCCAGCAGAGGTGTCAGTGGAAGTCTAGACAGAGACCACTGCCTGGAGTCACAGCTGATGGTGAGCCCAAACGCTTGTTGACTCACATGAAGGTCGGGTCTCCAAGTTGCAATTGATGCTGTAACGCTTGTGCATTAAAGCCTGGATATTGAGCTGTGCCTGATGCCTGTGTGGAGAGCACTGGCTTCGACCTGAGCCAGTGCCTGGTCCCTGGACACCTAGCCCAGCCCACGCCCCACGTGCAGTCGTGTGCAGAGGTCATGCTGACCCAGACCCAAAGTGAACACACCTGCTGGAGGAGGCCATCCAGTGCATCCTTGTCCGCCTGGGCCAAACCATCCTTCTGCAGTCGCAGAAGCAGTTCCGCCTTCCGGTAGGGCCTCAGCGCCAGGAGGTGCAGCACCCTGTCTCGGAAGGGTCTCTGGGACACCCCACCGATGGTGCCAACACCGCTTTTCCTGATGGCGCTTGCCAGGTTGATAGGGGTTGCTCGCTTCCGGGAGGGCACGGCATCTGTGGCTCCTGGGGCAGGTTTCCGAAATTGAACCTTCTTGCCTGCAGCGAGAACCAGAGATTGGACTTGAGGGGTGTGAGGTGATCACCATGTCCCTCTGTTGGGATATAGTGCCAAGGTCTCAAGCAAGCAGACAGATGTCTACAAGCTTAGGACATGGGAAATTGAGAACGACACTCCCATCTCCCCATCAAGGAGTTGCTGGGCGGCCTGGTCTGTCTGTGGGAATCCTGGGGGGCTGACACTACTGCCTGCTGATCCCACACGGCGCACCTGTAGCCATGGAGCCCAGTCTTAGGAGTGGGAGCGACGAAAGCAGAAGTATGCTTCTGCTTAATTAGCTTCATCACGAGTGTCCTAAATACCAGGACCAAAAATGACCACCCATATGTTAAAGAGAGCCTCAAACCACTTCACAGCCCTACACTAGCCCTCTGCACCAACCATGTTTTTATGGAAAAAAAAAAAGAGAGAGAGGGACATGAAGATTCTGATTCTGGCAGGGGCAGCCATAGCCACATAGGTTGCAGGAGCTTCCTGCTTCCCACACAGATTAACACAGTGGCTCCAGGCAGATGCCAAGCTGTCACAGTCTTCCCAGGAGCAGGGAATCAGGTGTTTCCTTCTTGTTCTTGACCCCATGGTCCTTCACTGGCCCCACCAAGCAGCAGGTCCCTGGCTGCAGGGCCTTGGAGAGGAGCATCTGAGCATGAGGGCAAGGCTGGCAGTAGAAGGAACAAGACACGGTAGTGCATTCCCAGAAGTGCACCCCTGCCTGGCAGAGGGCCCCGAGGCTACAGCGTGGGAAAGAGGCCAGCAGACTGGAGTTCTTGGGCACTGAGTCCACCTGAGGGTGGGAAGAAAGCAAATGCCGCATCGGTCCCAACAACATGCCAGCAGAGCACGCCCCTCACACGAAGCTACTAGTCCTGCAGGGGCCCTACCTGTCAGCCACTCTCCTGGCTCAGCCTAGATGGGCCCTGAGACTACCACTTCCCAGACAGCGGAGCCCCAAGCCACAGTCCCCGCAGCACAGCCTGCCTACTCCTCACCCATGTAGCGGCCTCCAGGCTTGATGACGATGGCACCACGGCTACGCGTCTCCTCCTCAGCCTGCGCCATGCTCTGCCGAGCCTTTTGATAGGAGTCATCAGTGGCGCACACAGTGATCTTGTCCTGGATGCTGCCCAGGCAGTCCAGATGGACATCCCCACGGCTACAAGACAAGGGCCAGAGCCCGGGGGTCAGCACTGGCTGGGCTACAACACTTCCTGACTGGGAAGAAGTAAGAAGCCCAGGCCCCAGGGCAAGAGGTAGCACTGAGGACATGCACTCACTGCCCTGGACACCCTGAAAGGAGTCACTGAGAGAAGTGGCTCTGGGGCCAGAAGTGGCAGGCAAGGCCCAGGCCAGGGCAGGGCCGCAGATGCCAAGTTTAAGGGGCATGGTAGGGGTGGGGAGACACCAGAGTAAAGGGTGAGGGCAGAAGGACCAAGGATAGAAGCCAGTGAATGGTGGGGTCCGCCATGAGTGGAACCAGAGCACCTCACCTGGAGACATACTGCTGGATGCAATCGAAGCTGCCTTGGGGGCTGTCACGGCCGATGTTAGAGAGGTAGAAGGAGAAGGTCCGAGCCTCTGAGGGGCAATCGGGCTGAGGGATGCAGATGTGCTGTGGAGAAGGAGGATGTCACCAGCAGGTCCACAGCATGGAGGGGACTGCAGGTCAGGCCAGCACTCACCCTGCCCGCCACACACCACACCCTTACAAGACCGCGTGCGAGTGCTTCCCTTTAAAACACACCTTTGTGTTCCTGACATGGCAGGACAGCAGCCCTTCCCCACCACCATCCCTGCCACCCACCCTAAGCCACACCCAAGGTCCTTAGTTCCCATGGGGGCTGGGGGATAGGTCTGGTCAATAATGGTGGTGGCAGCCAGGCCTAAGAAGCTGCAGCCTGACATGCTTTCCCGCCACCAAATGGGAGATGTGGCCCAGGACATCCTGGAAGAAATGAGCCAGATGGCAGCCAAAAGAGCACACTGAGCAGGACTGCCAACCCTTGTTGCCACTCAGCAACACCCTCTCTATGTCTCCCCTACTGGACATGACCTCTACCCAAGTGTCCACTCACTACCCTGTGGCATAAACAGGCAGGCAGGGCTCTAGACAGGTAGCTCCCTGAAAGACCAACTCAGCTATGTGAATACACCCTGATTCTGATTCTGGAAAGTACCTCTAGAGCCCGGCCCCCCAAGAACAGATTGGCATTCTGGACATTCTATTCCCAGTCCAGGTGCCAGTTCAGAGCAGATGGGAAACCACCTCACCCAGAGGCCAGTGGATTCCAGGGGACTCTCACAGGGTAAATATCAAGGGGCTGCTGAGGAGGGGAGCAGGGTCCCACTCGCAGGAGGGGCCTCCAGAAACCTGTCACCAGGGAGCCCCATAGAAACAAATCCCTGGGATTGAGTGCAGGGCTTAGCACAGCTGGACACTACATGGAGGGTGAAGGAAGGAATCAGGCACAGTACCCAGGCTGTGTCACCACCTTGTATGCTGAGGACACCAACAAACCTAATCAACACTGGACAGAACACAGCACCAGACTGAACCCCTGCACTGCCCAGAGCCCAGGGGCATAGGCTTGGACCACAAAGAGGGATGCTGAGAGCAGTGCATGAATACCTGTTCCAAAGTTGTCCCGAAATACCCCATGACCTTCCCCACATACAGCCAGATCCTGCTCCAAGGAGACCCAGATGTGCAGAGAGCCAAGTGCAGGGAAGCACTTCCCAGCAAGGCACTGGGACTGGAAGAGCCTGGGAGCCCCTGCTCCAGTCATGCGGACAGTGCATGCTCGGCTGGCACTCGCCAGCGTCTGAGGCTAAGAACTGTGCCTCCCAGCCCAAGGCCTGCCAGCACCCCTCTAGCCCGCTGCTGCCGTGCCTGGCCCTGAGGTGCTGATGCAGACACAGGAGCCGGTGCACACAGTGGACGCAGGTAAGGTCAGAGCTCTCCATGGGCCACCCAGCCGCTGCCTCTGGGGACTCACAGTGTGGTGGTGCCCGAACCTGAACATAATGGGTATTTATTTACTGGGATCTGAGAGGGGAGGAGTGGTTCACACTCAGTGTCCGGAAAGTCACCCCTTGACCACTTCTGATAACTGACCTCAAGCCAGAAGATGTGCATGAGTGAGAGTGCACGTGCACCACACAGGCACTCGGGCGCAGGCGCACACGCAGGCGCACACATGCACGCGCACACGTGAAGACACCACACACTGCATCCATAGCCCCACAGGTGCATTTGGACAGCTTCACAGTGCTGCACTTTAACCCCTTGAGCCATCAGGGACGCCCCCCTTTTTTTCTCCCTACAGGAGCATTTGGAAGACCTGGGGCCTTGAGTCTCCTGACTGCACATAACATATCCTGGTCAGCAATGAGCACCTACCTGTGCCACCTGTCCTCTCAGACGTGAGAAGTCACTGGAAGTACGCACTCATGGGTGGAGGCTCAGTTCTGAGTCACTGCAGGCCATACCACACCCAGAGGCACACACCATAGCTGCCCCACTAGGTAGAAAGCCTGGGCATCATAGGCTGGCAAATCAAACCTGAATCTCGATGTGGGAAATCTACCCTTTGCCACTATGATGTCCCAGGTCTCCCCGCTCCAATTAATTCTTGATCCTCCCTCCCTATGTTTGTTCCCTCCCTACCTGTCCTAACAAGACCCAATCTCTTAGTTGGCATCCTTGTCTGCCAGTTCAGGCAACAGCTACCTGGAGGGACAATGGGTACCCTCAGCTGGCTCAAGTCTAGCTGAGTATTGTCAGCCTCAATTCCTGATTAGTGGGGAGAGTGGGAATCTGTGAACATACATGGACTCGAAGCAGGAAACAAACTTGACCAGCCCAAGTGTCCTGAGCACCCAAGAGGGTCACCATCTCACTGATGGTGAAGTAAAAGGGGTCCCCAGAACCCTTTTATCTCTTTCCTTTGAACTCCATTGAGTCCCCAGATTTGTGGGGCTTCATTTGCAGTCCAGGTGCAGTTCAGAAATGCAGTTTAGGGCCAGGAAAGCAGGCCCTCATACCTGGCAGGGAAAAGGAAACATGGCCTATCAATGTCCAGGAGGAGGAAGGTGTGTTCTAGAGGCCACGGATTGGGGCAGACCCAGGGTCTGCTCTGACAAGTGTACAGAGACAGCTACACATGAGTACCAGTCAGACACGCGTACACCCAGGAGAAGGGATAAACAGGCAAAGGATGACTCTATACCATTCTAGATAGTGGGCTCCCTAACTACCATTCTATGTAATAGAACCCCTAACTCTGGCATGGATATGATGTTCTGGTTCTGCTCAGGTACTGAGCAATACAGGGCATGTTTTCCATGAGTGACCACAAAGAGACACTGTGGAATGAACAATTTCACCCTTCCTCAGATGCTGAGGAATGACCATGGACACCAGAGGGCACCCCAGGGCCAGTATGGCAGCAGACCCATCTACTTCAACACTACCTAGGACCTGGGAATATAAAGGGTGAAGGAAAAGGGTGACCACAAACTCTGATGTGGCAAATGGAGGAGGCATGAAGGACAGGGGCCTAGGTCTTTCCAGGATATCTCACCAACCCTGACTACAGACCCACTAGAGTATGATGATCATTGCTGCACACCTGCCCTCTGCTTCAGCCAAGCTGCAGCCCCCAGAGACATTGGAACGCCACCCTTAGGGTGCCATGGCAACATCCATGGCCAGGGAACTTTTAAGATGATGACCTTAGATGTTTTGGGTGGACCACAGATAAACTGCAGTTTCACGCCTGTAGAGTTGGCATTTCAGACTTGCTAGCCTCACAACTGTGAGCTTGAGATAAACTTCCTATTGCTTCTGTATCTCCACATGCAGAAACATGTAGACCACTTGCAGACTCAGGGACACATGCAGCAAAGACATGCACAGTCACACACAAACTGGACATCTCTCCAGACTCCCTATTTTGTAAGCAGCAGGCTGGCCCAGGTGGAAACTAATTTAGACGCATGAGGCAACTCATCAGGAAAGCCTTGCAATGAAGGTGTGAAGGAAAATCAGTGTGGTCCAAGGCATGTTCAGTGGGCAGAGAATACAGGAGTCCCAAGACCTGGGAGGCAGAACTGTGGTTCTGCACAGGTACTGAGCGATACCTCTGTACCCTTTCTTTCATCCCCTAATTCTTCCATAAGCTGGGCATTTAGAATAAAATACATTTCAGAAAAAGGGAGTGCTAATATCAAAATCCAAACTACCAACCACAGAGCTCATCCACTGAGGAGGGTGAGTGCCTCCCTGGGGAGACACAGCTCCAAATCTTGGGTTTTCAGACTACTGTTTCAAATCATGAAGGCGGGGTCAGAGCTGGTGCTGAGGGACTGGGAGCCAAGCACATATTAGCTACATGAAGAAAGCGGGGCTGCTGGGCAAGCGAGCTGCCCACAGCACGCAGACAACCTAACTGCTGGTGGTGCCCCCTGCCCCAGTATAGGATCAACCTCTGAGGACATCCAGAGGAGGTGCAAAAGATTGGGGGGTGCTGGCAAAATGCTGCCGCTACCTGCAGTTGTGCCAGTGAGCCACAACAGGCCAAGACAACACCACATCCCTGAAGACAAAAGTGACTCACCCCTTGACTTCCTTGAAAGCGAATTGATGGTCTCAGTGAAACAGAATCCTGCAAAAAAGCAAAGTAGGAATGTGTCAATAAAGTTATCAGTAAATCCAAAGACTCACTTCTCATTTACATACAGAGGACCGGAACACAGTTTTTAGGAATGGCAAAAGAGAACACACACAAACGTGTGAAAATTATAGAAACGACGACCAGAGCAGTTTTGAAGGATCAACAGGAGTTCCTTAAAGAGCAAAGGGGCCAGGGCTGGGGTACAGAAGAGGCAACTGTGGAGATACAGGCACCAGCCGGCTCTCACATTTCTCCCCAAACAGCATCAGCCAAGGCCGTCCCGCCTCGCAGACCCCCCACGCATGGGCAGGAGACAGCATCCACCATGGCAGGACACCTGCCCAGTGGCCATGTCACAGCTTCAGCACTTAGGGGAATGGAATTTCCAAATGCCATAAGAAAATGTACACTAAAAATTCCCAAAATAATTATTTTAAAATCAGCTATTCAGAGATCAGATATCTGGTGAAATTTTGGAAAGATAATGGATATCCAGGGACTCTCCCTGATGGCACAACGGGTGAAAGCTCAGCACTATGAAGCTAGCCGCAGCCACTGCAGCATGAGTTCGATCCCCAGTCAAGAGGTGACCCATGTGGTGAGGTGGACCTCTCCTGACCCGCCTGCTGCTCCCCTCAGTAGGATACTTCGTCGATGTGCTTTGTCGATCTGCTTGTTCTGCTCCCCACTCTGTCTCTGGTGAATCCTCTCACGGCCCCTGCACTTCTGGCCTGTACCCCAGTTCTATATGCATAAATAAATCTTAAAAAAAAAGAACATGCATGTCCAGATGGAAGGCTGCAGCCTCTCAACCATTTGGGAACCCAGCACCCTCTCCTTACCTGGCCTCCCAGCACCCCCTCCTCAACCACTGCCCCCGGAACTAGTTCCTCGCACTTAGCCCCTTCCTCACCCAAACCACCTTCTGCGCAGCACAGCAAGCCCACACAGGTCCTGGCCTATCACCAAGATTCCCTCTCTCAGCGCACATCTCCCCTCTGCCTCTGTACCACAGCAGAACTGGGCATCCTCAGCTCTACTGCCAGTGTACGGCTCAGGCCTCCTGCTCAGTTCTTTCCAATGTCTTCTCTCTCTTCCAGATGTCAAGATGGGAAGGGGAGATCTGGATGGGATGGGAAGAATGGCTCTATATGGGTGGAGTGAGGCAACCAACTGGTTGGCCATGACTCTCAATACCGGTATTCCCACCAGTCGCTATGGGCATGTGAGAGTACACCCCTTGCTTACCCAGTCCTCCCCTCCTGTCAAGAAGTCTCATGCTGAGTGCCAGCACTTAACCCCCAAGGAACTTGATACTCTAGAAATTGCCCTACACTCCTTAAGTACATTACCCCTTGGAGCGACAAGGGGTGGTATCCAGTCTCTGTCTTGCTCCTGAACAGGGAACCAACCTGCAGGCAAAAGGACCCACAAGTTGCTGAGGAGGGGTGAGACTTCCCCAAAGCAGGTTCGGGATGAACTAACCCAACACCCCACAATTCAACCATCTACCCAGTGCAGGACTGTCATTCAGAGGAGAAGCACAGCACCAGAGGGTACCTGGCATGGCAGGCCCTTGGAAATGTTCCAGGTTTTACTGGAACTGGGTAGAAGAGAGTAATCTAAAAGGCTTATGGGTAGCTGGGCATCAGGACTCATCATAAAGTGAAGAGAGCACAGTGCAGGGGGTGGCATGTGCCTATTGGAACGGCTACAAGAAACTGACCATACACCAGAAGCCTAGCTTGCTGTGAGTGGGAACACACACAGTACAGTCACTGTAGAAAATATTCTAGAAATTCCTTATAATGCTAAACTCATCCTCAGCAATTCCACTCCTAGGAATACACCCAGTGGGTACAAACATAAACATCTATACAAAAACTTATATGTAAACGTGCAAAGAAGAATTGCCCTAAGGGTCCTAAAATGAAGCAACAACACAATGGCTATCCATGGATGGACAAACGACAGAACGCTATCTGGAAATAAAAAGGAACAAACGACTGACAGGCACAACATGTACACACTTCAAAACCCATGGCCTAAGCGCAAGGAGTCCACCGTGTACAACCATGCACTTACAGAAAAGACAAAACTAAAGGCATAGAAAACAGATTTGCGTGTGCCTCCTGTCGTATGGGAGAGGGACCAACTACAGAGAGCTGAGGGACATTCTTGAGTAGAATATTAATACTGTGTGCGCCACAGGCCCCACGTTCAAGGATGACTCAATGGTCCCAGCCAGAGCAAGTGTGGGTGTGTATATGTGACGTGCCTTGTGATGGAAGGGAGTTCTATCCAGGGTGGGTTCCTACCTTAACTGTGAGGTGCCAGGATGGGCTTGCCCACCTGTGACGTGGGTTGGAAACAGAATGAATAAATGAATACAAAGATTGTTGAATATTATTAAGTGCAGGGAGGGGGTGGCCGCTGGGCTTATTCCTGTTCCCATTTCAGCATGTAGTTAGGGTACCCCACTTGGAAGCGGCTGGGTGTCCACTGGGCACCTTTGGAACACAAGCCCCAGCAAAGGCCTGTGTGCCCAGCCCAGCGGGGTCAATGGCGGTGTGGCCAAAGGTCTGCTCACATTCCCAGCAAAGCTGAGGCCTACTGTTCCCAAAAACTCCAAGGAAACATGGGCAGCAGCCAAGGCCCCAAGTCAGCAACTTTCAAACATCTATAGGCCTCACATGCCAAAGGGCGCTGAGGAACAGCGCCCACACTTCCTGCCTTAGCTGCCTGCGTGGCTGATAGAAAGCAGCAAGGCACGAGGACCCAGAACAGTCCTGGAGGCTGTGGTTGAGAGCTGCACTTTAGCCTCATTATCTAAGTTTCACCCAAGTCTCAGCACCCAACTCACAGCAAACTCATGGTGTGAGGATTCACTGTGCCCCTCCCAAAGACCATTTGCTCTGTGTTGGCAGTCTCATTTTTCTTTTCTTTTCTTTTTTTTTTTTTTTAAGATTTATTTATTTATTCGTACAGAACTGGGGCACAGGCCAGAGATGCGGAGGGTGAGAGGATTCACCAGAGACAGAGTGGGGAGCAGAACAGGCAGATCCACGAAGTACACTGCTGAGGGGAGCAGTGGGCGGGCCAGGAGAGGTCTGCCTCGCCATGTGGTCACCTCCGGGGCAGGCGGGAATCGAACTCATACGGAGGTGGCTTTAGTTTCTCAGTGCAGTGCTTTAACCCGCTGCGCCACCAGGGAGGGCCCGGCAGTCTCATTTTTTCTAAGCCCTATAGGGACTTTCAGACTAACCTCAGGAGGATACAGTGGGCCTGCTATAGTCACCTCCAGCTTCTGGGGCATTCTCATGTTCAGACTAGGCATCCCCAGCCCAGTCTACTCAGGCAGACGGTCACCTGGGCCTGAAGAAACATTCACCAGATGAATGTCAGGGTATATGGACAGACAAGACAGTCAACTTGCTGGCTCCTCGGTGCTCTGCAGGAGCAGGCTCCTAGGAAAGGGCCAACGGACCATCTGGGACCAGACCCACTGACAAGGACGGCAGCGGACAAATCCCTAGCAGCAGTTTTCCAAGGTGACCAAGAGGAGAGAGTCCCTGACCACCTAGCTCACTGCCTTAAGGAATCTTCTCGACCACGGCCAGAGCTAGAGGAGGCTGACGGGCTAGAATGTATGTGCAAAGACCAAGAGAAGAGGCAGGCAGAGGAGTACTGGAGCCTGAGTGATTCTTGAGCTGCTCCCCAGCAAGGTGGCAGCTAAGGCTTGGGAGTCCCTAAGGTGGAGCAGGGGATGGGGTGGGAGGTGAGCCCATGTCTCAACAGTAGAACTAGCCAGTCCTCCATCAACCTCTTGATTTCCCTTACTAAGTCTCAGAAACAAGCTTCTGCAGGATCAGCTGATCCACCACTAACCAACTTCCTGCCACAGCCAGCAGTCAAACCCACACACTTCAAGAAAGAATGATAAATAAGCTCAAGAAATCCCTTTTTCCTCTAGATTTCAGCAGAAATGCTAAATGAGGAAAATTCAAGTAAAGTGAAATGCTGTTCTTGGTGTTCGTCTCCCAAGGATTCTTCCAGTGTGAACGTAGGATTCTCGCACTATGTGAGAGATAGGGCCAGACACCAGATCCTCTCTCAGGTCCTTGCTTCCAAGATGACTAAGAGATGAAGGAACAGTGGTCATGCTAAGAGATGAAGGAACAGTGGTCATGCCAAAGAGTGCCATGGCACGTTGTAAGCCTATTCTCTGCACCAGCTGCACTCAAGTACACCCAAGGACAAAGCTATTCACAAGTTCATCATCTCAAACATAGTCATCAGAACATTTTTGAACCAAGCATCTTTGACACCGATATGCTTCCCAAGCTGTATATAAAGTTGTCTGTACAGCAGGGTATAGGGCAGCATCCTAGGGTTAGGAAGATTTGACAGATCAGCTCAAGAACTGTCTGTTTCCATCATTCTAGCAGCTTTTGCCTACCCCAGACTGCAATGAGCAAGTCACAAGATAACTGGATACAACAATCCAGGATACAACCCACTGGATACAACCCACCTGCACAGCTGTTATAGGGCGGCTGCAAGGATTGCATTGTAGGACCAAGCAACACACTCCAAGTGATGGCCCTTGTCTCCACAGATCTTCTGAGGTCACAATGCTCCCACAGGCTCAGAGGTCACCTCCTTCCCCGGTACCACAAACAGCAGGCACAGAGGAGGGTGTAGGCACTCAAATGGCAGACTGCCAGCTTTTGTTAGCTACTTGGGATGCTCTGTCTCCTGAGGACAATGTTACCAATAGCTTAAGCCAACAAAGAAACCATGTAATAAAGACAATGGCATTGCCAAGGAAGGACAGGAAGGAGAGGTTCACCAGAGGACATAGATATGCTGACCCAGACTCCTCTCAGAGGGCTCTGCCTGTGGTTGGAGGCAGAAGGGTAGGGTTGTGCTGTTGGGTGGAGGCAGGGGAGCTGCCCAGACCCCACAGAGTGATCAGCAGTATAGCAGCA